GAAAGAGTGAGCTGAGGGTTTAAACAATAACTCAAAATGTACAAAAGGATGGGTTGTGCCAGCCAGAGAGCCAGAATCAGGCACAAGGAAGAAAAAAAAAAAAAAGTAAGGCATCTTGAACCGCCAGCAAAAGCAAACGCATCAACAAACAGACGGCAACAATCCGAGAAATGGGCACGGTAGATTCGGGGGAGCCTGAGTCACGCGGCTCTCTCTTCCGGTCACAAACGGAGTGAGGGGATGTAAGGAATCTAAACTCACAGACATGGGTTTAAAAGTCAAATCGGCACCACGGACTTAGTGCAGAGTCCTGCTCATTAATAAAGGCAAAATTACACCTTCTTCAATAAATTGTGCAAGACAGGGTCTCCTTTCCCATCGCAGCACTGGATGGAATGGTTTTACGCACTCAGAGCAAAAAACAAGGCTGAAGCCTGCCTCCATTCTCCTGCCGGGTCCTGCAGACTCCACCAAGCCTCGGAGGGGAACACCATGCTACGTAACGTCAGCGTTGGCTCACCGGTGAAGAGAAACATGAATAAATGTGCGATGTGTATCAGAAATTGGCAGAAGCAGGTTAGATATAAGGGTCAGGCTAACCTTTAAATCACAAATGAGAAGAAAACGGCTTTCACAACAAAAAGAGTAACAATGTTAAACTATGAGTATCTCCCCAAGATAAAGTAGGATATTCTCACAAACACAACCAACGACCACATAAATGTAGCCTAAGATTTAAAAACTGGACCAAAATACTAGAACTGAAACCAGGCTTCAGTGTGTGTTTGGAGGGGGAGGAACCCATTCTCACATCTGGCAAAGCATTTTTCCACCACATGGTTTTCTAAAGAAAGAAATCAAAGTTAACTGAGATCGATTTAGGGGGAAAAAAAAAAATCTACAAAAGCTAGAGGTAAGCAGGGGACACACATCTTTTCTTCGTATCTTAAAATTCTCCTCCAAGTCAGTACTGAATAAAAATGAGGAAGGCCGTATACTTCAGAATATCAAAAGTTGCTTTTGTTCGCTAGAGGAGAAGCCGTCTAAAAATGAGGACGCTTCAGGATAAACGTTTCATTTCCAAAGGGGTGAAACAAGTCCATATTCTGGAAAGACAGCGCATGCCCCAAAGCGATGCTAGTTAAACCAAGGCAGGCAAGCACCTGGGGTTAAGTACAAGTCAGGAAAAGGAAACAAACAAATAAATAAATGGAATATCTCACACACACACACACACACACACACACACACGCGCGCGCGCTAACTTAGCACATCTGAACAGTGGAGGAGTAAAAAGAAGCTGAAGGGTGGTCTTCAGAGACCTGCTTCAAAGATGACCACGAAAGTTAACTGCTGTTCTTTAGAAGCAAACAAATGCTATGTACCAACAGCATGCCTTTGCTCACCCGCTTGACTTTGTATATCACATGTAGGTTTCATCATCCCTTTGGTTGCAGTATGAATGACAGAGGCTGATGCATAGGATTCTCCCACCCCAGCAGCACTGGGACTTCAAAGCAGGGAAAGGATCGAGCCTAGTAGGATTAAAACCAGAATGGATCGCTACACACAGGCTGGTAACCAGGAACACATGAGTCCCTCAACTGCAGCTCTGCAAGTGACTCTTCCTGGCCTCGACGGATGCTGTCCCTGCCTCCCTGCCGTCTGGCTTCCCTCCTTGTCTGTGGTCATCTCACCTACCTACCTGCCAAAAGCTGTCAGCAGATGCCTTAGTTAACACGTATGGCTTATTCCCTCAGCACCTTCGGCCAGCCGCGGGGACTTGCGAACTGCTTTGGCTGCTTTATGACAGAAAATTCAAAAAAAAAAGTCCAAACCTGGCAGAAATGTGGCATAATTAATTAATATGCCCACCTCTGTGTTACTATAAAAAGACATGAACTTTAGATTGGTGTGTGCTTGTGTGCGGGGTGTATTTTTCTGTAGCTCCAGGAAAGCTGGGATATTCTGATGTGCCCAGTGGCAGGCTTCCAATGCCATTTTTCATGAACTTATGAGAAATGCATAAATTCTAAGCAAACTGCCCCCAAACAAAAGGGACCATAGTATTAGTATACAATGTTTATTATTTCATTTGAATACTGAATATGCACCAATAACATGTGAGGACCACTTCTTTGAATTTTGGTCATCACAGTTGACTGACAGTTCTAGAAAGTGAAGAGAACTCAACTAGAATATATTTCATACATGAGACTAAAATACGATTCTATTTTTAAGTAACTAGATTTGGGTACAACAAAGGTTCCAAAATGCTTAGATTTTTTAAAAAATTGAAAGTCGAATGCACTTTTAAGCATACTGACATTTCCAGCAAATGATTTCAGACAGCCTAAAACAGATGAATTTTTTTCTGTAACAGATGAATAGTTTGAGAGGCTCCTATGTTTCCAGCAAAAGAATTATAAAATAAGGGTCTGGGCTCAATTTTGCTCTTAACTTTTGATCCCCATGGTTCATAAAAACACTGAAATGTCAATCCAGAGAACCCAACATACTTAAATTTTCATGAAAATCTGGGCGTGGTAAAATGCTGAAACTGAGAAAGTCTTAAAGAATGATCGGCTCTCTTTCACAGCTGGAGTCAGTGAAGCATACTCCAGGGAAACGATCCTTACATCGTTTTCAAAAATCCAGAGGACGGCCTGAACTAGGTGTCCAGGGAACAGGATTCCCAAATTGACCCTCAGTTTCCTCAAGTCTTAGGTGCCTCAAACAGTTATGAAAAACAAATGGAAAAACTAAGTGGAACAAGCATGTTAAGGTTATGGTCATGCTTTAGAAAAAAAATTCTTATACAAGTCTTTGGTATCACAATACACTTTAGGAAGCCAAGGTCATCTTAAATCAATAGTCTGCCTTTCCCCCCCACACACACGTAACCAATCAGAATCTGGAACACCACGTAACTGCTTACACTGCGATGAATAAGACACCTTTTAGCCACATTCTCTTGACTCATAAACAGCTGATCCATCGCATAATAAACCAGGTTACCTTGGTAAGCGCTTCATATGCAGTATTCCTTTAAATCTTATTACACTGATTTTAAG